AATTATTCTACTTATTTTAGATGTGACATAAATTCACTTGAATATCAGAATGTAGGATGATTTCTTTGTTTTTGTTTTGAATTGAAGCCAGGGGTGCTCTAACATGGAACTCTATCCTCATTATCAACCCCTTTGTTTTGTTTTTGCTGAGACAGCATGTGGCTAAGTTACTGCAGCTGGCCTAGAACTTAAAATCCACAGGCATGCACCACCATATCTGGCAATGATTTATAAGTATTTATTAACAAGGATGTTTGAAGACTGATGTCAATATATGTCCATAATGGAACTCTAAAGAAGCATAGATCTGGCAGTATAAAGCAAAATATTGATATATTTATCTAAATCCACTCAAGTATATGAAAATATTCCCGAGTCATCTTCTAGTATATAACCTACAAATAGGGGTCTTGAAAAGTCCAAGAAACTTCAGGCAAAAATGAGTAGTATTATCATAATCCAAAATAACTATCAGAAGTAAGCATATTACAGAGCTGGGGTTGTAGCTCAGCGGTAGAACACTCACCTAGCACAAGTAAGGCACTGGGTCTGATCCTCAGCGTCACATAAAAATAAATAAAACAAATGTATTGTGTCCACTTACAACTAAAAATAAAGTATTTTAAGAAAAGAAGTAAACATCTTTCAGAAAACAGAAATCTTGAAATCTATCACTCAAAATCTAAATAAGAGGCAAATATCCAAACCAGAAGTCTTTTGCAAACATGAAATATTTAGCTATAAAATAAAAACAATTGCATTATAATAAAAAGAATTGCATTATAAATATGTTGATTTAAAAAACAGATGGTCAGAAAACTTGTTTTCATATCATCCATATACTTCTAAGACCAAAAGTATCTATCATGCTATACACACTGTCTTAATGCTTGTTAATAAAACAAAATTGCTTTAAAACTTATCAACTCTGAAAAATAGCATCAAAAACCAATATTGCATCTGTTATGAGTTTCTTAATCAATTTAAGATTTCGCCACTTCCTTAGTGGATATAGCTAGTGGTAATAAATCTTAGAAACTACCTTTAGTAGGGATAGTCACTTTGATGGTTCCTTTTCCTTGGATGCACTTGCAAGTAAATAATTGAAAGGACAGAACAGAAGACGTATTCAACACTAGAAAAAAATTCAATAGAAAAATAATTACAATCAAGGGTTGGGCTCAGTTGTACAGTGCTTGCCTAGCACATATGAGGCACTGGGTTCGATCCTCAGCACCACATAAAAAATAAATAAGTAAAATTAAGAAAGCATAATTACAATCAACTTACCATTATTTATGTAGTTAACACGAATCTCTAATAGCAGTACACAAGGAATTAGTCTCCTACCATCAATATAGGTAATTCACTCACTATCTATTAAAAATCTTAGCAGCAAAATCACCCCATCTTACTCACTCCTTTTAAAAATGAATTTTTTTCTCCACAACAAACAAGAAGGAGATATTAGGGTATTCCTTAACTATTTAACTTAAAGACAATTTATTTGTCTCCATAATTTAAATACATCTCTATTGATATGGTTAGGAATATTGAAATATAAATTTTAGTGTGTAATTTACAAATTGTCCTTTTTACATTTTAAGTAATACAACTTAATTATCTCGAATTGCAAATCTCTGTCTCCCATAACAACAGTCTGCCCTTAATTTAATATTTTATAAATGAATACTTACATGCAGGAAGACAATGTTTACCTAAGTCAGTTTGAGACAACAGGATCAGATCTTCTATTCTGATTTCAGGATACTGTAAAAATTGATTAACTAAGGTAAATTTCCAAGGAAAGGCTATCTCTTGTTGCAAATAATTGAAATTAATGAGCACAGAGTCCAAGTCAGTGGCACAATTTCCTTCAGTAAATATTGTATCCTTACAAGACCTTGCATTCATCTCTACTTTATTTTAGATATTGTAACATAGTAAAGTAAAAAGCAGAAGACTATTTATGAATTCATAATGACTTAAAGCCCCTGTTTCATGAGTTTCCTATCTGCAAATGTTATCAATCAACACTGGTCATGCACAAAGTAGAAGAAAGTCAGAAAGCAGAAACAAATAGCACAATCATTTTACCTTAAAAAGTAATTTGAATAAATTCCTTAATAGGATTCAATACCAGAAAAAATGTTTTCACTCTGACCTCACCAATATAAATAGGCAAAGAAAAAAATATACAAGTATCTCATGGTTTAATTGCTCTATGCATTTATTGTCTATTATTAATGCAGAAAGGGGACAAAAAGCTCACAAACAATCTACACAATTCACAAGACGCAGAGTAGGGATAAAGGTGACTTAGATGAATCAACAGTATTCTAGGGTCTTGGTGGACGCATTCCTGGGGGAGGTGGACCTAGAAAACAAAAAATAAAACAAAATTCAATGAAATAGTCAGAAAAATAATATATATGCATTCAAAGCCCTGGCTGCTACTCTCAAACTCCTATAATCCCAATTCACCTCTAATTCCTGGTGGTGGGGGCCTCATTCCAGGAGGAGGCATGCCTATTGGCGTCCCTCGAGCAGGGGGAAGCCCAATTGGTGGGCCCATAGGTGGTCTCATACCAGGTGGAGGAGCCATGATGCCTACAAAGAAAACAATTCAGAAATAAAGACCTTATAAGTTGGCTCAGGAAAGTTAGACTTCAGCCCAAAGTAATGAGAAGAAATGAGCTGGGTTCAATCCAGAAAGAAAGAGGGAAAAGCAGCAGCCAGTGAGGATCAAATAATTTCTTTTTAAATATTGCTCCTGTTTGCCATCTCCAATTCAAAAAGAATTCCTACTCTTTCATTAAAAACTAATAATATACTCCCAAAATCTCTAATTGAGCACTTAGGTTGTGTCTGAATCCATTATCTAAATCAGTTGTTGTTGTTGTCTCAAACTGACTTAGATAATGGCATATGAACTCCTGGAGATACAAATTATTCTTTTTCACAAATAACCATACCTGGTGGTGGGGTTGCTCTGCCTACAGGTGGGGGTGGAGTCCCCCGTCCTGGTGGGTACTGTGTTGGGGCTCCAGCAATGCTGGCAGTAGCAGCAACAGCAGCAGCTGCTACAGTACCTCTTCCTTGTGGAGTCATTACCTAAGAGGGCAGAGCCAGGAAGACAATAAAAATGAGAAGAAACATGCTCACATTTTTATACACAGAAAATAAATATTAGGTATGTCCTCTTAAATGCTAAATAATTACTGCAATTTTATACTTGTCTCATTCATATTTTATTTTTGCAGCACTAGGAATGAAATCCAAGGGCTTAATCACATGTCAAGTGCATGCTCCACCACTGAGATACATCCCATCCTGAGTTCTGCATTTTTTTTTAATCTTGGTATTATGGGCTGGGGTTGTAGCTCAGTGGTAGAGGACTTGCCTAGCATGTGTGAGGAACTAGGTTCAATTCTCAGCACTGCATATAAATAAATAAAGGTCCATCAACAAATAAAAAATATTTTTTAAAAATCTTGGTATTATGACATATCAAAGCAGCTATTCTCTTTTTTCCAAATCTGACATGTACATTCGTATTTTTCTGAATAAGCAAATAATAGTTTTACTCCTAACAAGGTGGCTTTAAATATCCAGTAACCATTTTAAATAACTAGTTTTATTACCTTGCTTTTATATTTATCTCACTGCTTATTCTATAACATATACTGCTTAAACAAATACACATTTTTAAATATCCTCAATCCAAGGATCTACTCACATTTCCCCATTAAGCTAAAACCCTTTCCTTGTTACCCACCTGCTGGGATGGACCTCCAACTCCTCTGACAGGGCCTGCTAATCCAGCAGGAGCCTGGGGAATTGGTACACCAGCTGGTACTCCTCTGCCAGCTGCCCTCCCAACCCCAGGACCTCCTGCAGCTCCAGCAAGTGGCACCCGAGCAATACCAGTCTGAAATAAGAAAATTTATAATGTAGAACTGAATGACTTACTCAAGTTCTCAGCACTTTTATACAAAAACCATTTTACCCACTATGTTCCCAGGCCTCCCACCTAACATTAATTTCAGCACTCAAATGGAAAAAATGAGTATATATACCATGGAGATAATTCTCCACATATATATTTTTCAAATTGTTAGGACACATACCATGTGGAAATAAATCGACAACTCCCATGATTACCTAGGTAACCCAGCACATAAAGTAACCCATCAGAAAACTTTTAATTCATAAAAGTTCAAATATTAGCTAGCTTCAAGTTCTGAACACATTTGACAAAAGTATACTATATTGTGCTTCCCTGGTCCCCCAATTTCAGCCATCTCAAAGAATACAATATTCTCCCATATTTAAATTATTTCCTTTTATATACCAATTAAGAATAAAACAACAAAAAATTACTTTCAAAGACAAAATTTTAAAGAGCTCTGTCCTGCCCTGTATCTTCCTTACATCTTTAGGGGGTGGTCCCTCCACAGTCATGGATACCAAGTTCTC